CACTCACACAGTCCCCACCCTAGGCTAGGTCCTCACCACTTTCCTCCTGGATTGTTTCAGTGGCCTCCTGATTGGTCTCCTTGCCTCCAGTTTCTTCCTTCCCCAGTCCATCATCCGCACACAGCTGCCAAAATTATATTCTTCCTTTTATTTTTTTTTTAAATCAGGCAATTGGGGTTAAGTAACTTGCTCAGGGTCACACAGGTAGTAAGTGTCAAGTGTTTGGTCTGAGACTGGATTTGAAGTCAGGTCCTCTTGACGTCGGGGCCGGTGCTCTATCCGCTGTGCCACCTTGCTGCCCGTCAAAGTGAGATTCTTAAGCCCAGGTCTGACCCCGTCACTCCCTGCCCTAGAAGCGTCAGCGCTGCCCCACCACCTTCAGAATAAAGCACAGTCTCCTGTGTTTGGTATTTAAAGCTCTCCAGCTTCTCTTCCAGGAGGGTCACACATTACTCCTCCTTGTGCACCCTCTACTCCAACTGAACTGTCCATTGGCTGTTGCCCGTTCATGACATTCCATCTCCTGACTCCATCTCTTTGCACACACTGTGCCCCCTGCCTGGAATTCTTTCCCTCCTTGCCTCCAAATCTTGGAACCCTTAGCATCCTCTAAGGCTCAGCTGAGGTGTCACCCTCTTAAAGGGGCCTTTCCTGCTTTCCTCAGGAGTTTGTATGTCCCAACCAATCAATCATTCAATTAAAAAGCATTTATTAAGGACTTACCATGTTCTAGGCACTGTAATAACCCCGAGGATACAAAGAAAGGAAAAAGACAATCCCTGCCCTCAAGGGGCTTACAGTCTAATGGGAGAGACAACATGCCACCAACCGTGTACAATCTACAGTTATCCCTTCAGCATCATGACTTTCCCCATCATGATTTAATATATCGAGGTTTGGCATAAGATATTAAATGGGAATTTTTTTGGAGTTTTGTGGAAGTTGCAGACAACATGAGAAGGCCAGCAGATGGCACAGAGAGTTTAGAAACATATAAAATATATGTATAGTACTGTATAGTATGAACCCAAGTTTTTTTTTTTTTTGGCTAGGCAATGGGGTTAAGTGACTTGCCCAGGGTCACACAGCTAGTAAGTGTCAGGTGTCTGAGAGGTCAGATTTGAACTCAGGTCCCGCTGACTCCAAGGCCAGAGCTCTATCCACTGTGCCATCTAGCTGCCCCTGAGCCCAAATTTTACAATATGGTATTGAAAATACTCCATAAAAGAAAAAGAAAAAAATTCAGACTTCTTCTGCAAATGGAGGGCCAAAACATTTTACACAGATTTTCTAGGTTGTGAGGATGCCATACCCTTAACACCTGGGATTTGGAAGGGATAACTGTATATACAATGGAGTTTGGAGATAATCTCAGAGGAAAGATATTAGCAAAATCTTGAAAGAAGCCAAGGAAACCAGAAGGCTGAGGTGAGAAAGAAAATTCTAGGCAGAGAGACAGCCAGTCAGTCAAAATGCAGAGCCAGGAGAAGGAGAGGAAGTCTTATGCAAGAAATCATGAGGAGGGCCAGGCTTACTGGAGCTCAGAGTACATAGAAGGAAGTAAGGTGTGAGGAGACTGGAAAGGCAGGAAGAGGCCGAGTTATAAAGGGCTTTAAATGCCCAAACAGAGAATTTTTTATTTGATCCTGAAGGTAACAGGGAGCTACCGGAGTTCATTTGAATGGAGATTCGGGGTAGTGCAGGGGACTGGGAGGAATGGAAGGGAAAAGGAGACTTGGTCAGACCTACCAGTGTTTTAGGAGATCTCTTCCGACAGCTGAGTACAAGATGGACTAGACTGGGGAGAGACGAGAGGGAGAGTGACCATCACAAAGCTTCAAATCATAGGACCGTAGATTGAGTATTTGAAGGGATATTAGTGGTTGTCTAGTCTAACGTCTACATTTTACATAGGGAGAAACTGAGGCCCAGAAAACTAAACTGATTCTCTAGGATGCTGCAGTTAGTGCATGTCTGAGGTCAACAATTGAACTCGGGTCTTCTTGACCTGACCTACTCTATCTATATGTCTTACTTATATTTCTAGTTTGTACATATCCCTTATTTGTGTAAGTCCTTTATTTGAGAGACAGTATAGTATTAGATAGAGAACAAGGCTTGAAGCCTAGAAGATCTGGGTTCAAGTCTCTCTTCCGCTATAAACTGGCTGTGTGACCTCAGGTGTATCATTGACCTCTCAGAACTGTAGGCAACTCTCTAAGATGGTGGTTCTCCAAGCATGGTATGAGGATCCCCAAGGGTTCCCTAGATCCTTTCAGGGGGTCCGAGAGGTCAAAACTATTTTCATAATTTTGAGAAATGGCCTAGTGGTAGGCCCTAGCAGACAGAAGTGATCCCATATTTGTTTACTGATTGACCTCTGAATGTACGGGGAAGTTTTTATGTACCCAACTGACTCTGATAGCTACATTTACGGTTGGGGATGCAAGGCTAGCAAGCTTCATTTAATCCGGATATATAAGAGTAACAAACTTTACCTATCACAGTGTCCTGGCGGGGGAAGTGGCAGTCTAGACTACCCACTGATTGCCCCTAAGAGTTCCCTGGAGTCACCATAATGCATAGAGTGCCAGGCTTGGAGTCGGTAAGACTCATCTTCCTAAATTCAAATCGAATTCAAATTCAAATCTTGCGAGCTGTGTGACCCTGGGCATGTCACTTAACCCTGTTTTCCTCAGTTTCCTCATCTGTAAAATGAACTGGAGAAGGAAATGGCAAACCACTCCAGGATCTTTGCCAGGGGTGGGGAACCTGAAGCCTTGAGGCCACATGTGGCCTTCTAGGTCCTCAGGTGTGGCCTTTTGACCGAGTCCAAGTTTATAGAACAAATCCTATTATTTGTATAGGGATTTGTTCTGTGAAGTTTGGATTCAGTAAGAGGGCCGCACTTGAGGACCTAGAGGGCTACGTGTGACCATGAGGCTGCAGGTTCCTTACCTCTGAAAAATCCTAAATGGGGTCACAAAAAGAGTAGGACATGACTGAAACAACTGAACAGAACACAGGAAAAGATTTCCCTCCCACCTAGTCTCTGTGAATCTGCTCAGCAAAACAATCAGATATAAGGGCAGAAATTCCGGGGATCAGAACTCTCAACTGGGGTACACATTCCATGGCAAAACCAAGCCACTGGGCACTGTTGTTTCCTGGTGGGGCTGTAGATCGAGGAGCACATACTTTTGTGCCTGTGAATAACAAATGGCCTGACCTGAGATCCTTCTAGCTCTTATTTTCCTTCTTGGTCACACTAATAATACTGACATTTAAATTTCTAATACTGTAATATTGCTAGATCTCAGCCACATTAACAAAAGCTCTTGTTAGGGTAATTGTTGTTCAATAATTTTTCAGCATGTAAGGAATCCTGAGGACAACATATCTGAGAATTGCTCAAGATTCTAAATTGCAAGGAAAGTGCTGACATGCTTTGTGTGGAGGAAATTGCCTCATCTGGGAGGACCCAATGTCAATGAAACCACAGGTTCAGTCTCTATCCCTGTGTTTGCCCTTTACTGATCTGGGAACTTGTTGGGGGGCCCCAATTTCCACCCTACCTATTGAATATAAGCTTCTTGAAGGCAGGGTGGGTCTGTGGAAAGAGTGTTGACTTTGGAGTCAAGAGGAGCTGGGTTCAAATCCTGCCTCTGATACTTGTTACCAAGGGCAAGCCTCTTAGTATCTGGGTTTTTTTTTTTTTAGGCAATTGGGTTTAAGTGACTTGGCCAGAGTCACACAGCTAGTGATCGTTAAGTGCCTGAGGCCGGATTTGAACTCAGGTCCTCTTGACTCCAGGGCCAGAGCTCTATCCACTGCTCTCCCTAGCTGCCCCCGTCTCAGCTTCTTCTTCTGTAAAATAAGGGGGTTGGAGCAGATGGCCTCTTCCAGCTCTAGTCTGTGATCCTACACCTGGAGCACAGTGCCTGGCTCATAGTAATCATTTATTTGATTATTGATTATCGTTTAGTTGTGTCTGACTCTTCGTGACCCGGTGGACTCTTGCACGCCAATGCTGTCCATGGGATTTTCTTGGCAAAGATATTGGAGTGGTTTGCCATTTTCTTCTCCAGCTCATTTTACAGATGAGGAAACTGAGGCAAACAAGGTGAAGTGACTTGCCCGGGGTCAAACAGCTAGTATCTAAGGCTGGATTTGAACTGAGGTCTTAGTGACTCCAGGCCCAGTGCTCTATCGACTCTAGCACCTACCTGGGAAAATAATAATAATAATAATAATAATGATAATAATAGCTGTCATTTATGTAGCACTTTCAAGTTTGCAAAGCTGCCTCTTGATTACTGATTGGAGCGAAATAGTGTGTAGAGGGCAGATGTGAACGTCAACCTATGCTGTCACAGTGGTATGTGAGTCGGTGGGCAGGTGGCTGGGGTGCTGGTGTCAGAAGACTTTGTGGAGTCAGTTCATCTCAAAGGTAGGGCAGGTCAAACTCACTTCCCTGCCTCAGGCTGTCAGGCCTCTGATTGCTACCAAACTCCCCTACCCCTTTATTCCCCATCCCGTCCCTTCCCAGTCCTGTCTCAGCCTCCATCCATGCAGCAGGTGCTTTCTACCAGACAATAGCAGAGATTGCCCACGTTAATTGAAGGGAAAAAACAATTGACCAATCTTCAGCCCTCTCACAATGGGAAGAAAGGGAAAAAGTGTGTTTCTGTGACAGGATGGCTTATTTGCCCAGAGGATTCATTAATGGTAGGATTTCAGGCAGTGTCATTTGGGGAAGAGAAATCTTAGGGCATTGGGTGATCTCCTGGGCTCCCAAAGCGCTCTGTTCCCCAGAGAGACACTCCATGATCTAGCCTCTGCTCTGCCCTCCCCCTAGCCTTGGGGCCTGGGGTATTGGGAAACCAAGGTCCTGGAGCCAAAATTGGAAGCCTCACTTGCCCAAGACCGGAAACCACAATCAGCACTTCTTCTTCTGGGAGATGGAGAAAGGTGGGGAGGGGCTGGGATTGGGAGAGAAGAGGAAGGCTACATTGGGGACCAAGAGGTGCTGTCATCCCAGAGTCTGGCAGATTCTTATCAGCACCTTCTTCTCAACTCTGCTCAAAGGTGAGAAATGTCTCCTCCCCTCCCTCTCTTCACTTCCCGCCCCAAAGCTCCAATGGCCCCCATCTCTGGAAACTGTTATATTGACTTTCTTAGAAAGAACCCAGATGTTCCAGTCCCTGTCCCACATCCAGTGAGGGCTTTGCTCAGTGGTCGAGTAAGCTTGTTTTCATTGGGATAGCTGATTCTGAATTTCCTTTCTTCCTAGGGGCCAGTGGGATGAAGACTGCCTCCACCTTCCTCTTCATCATCTTCCTCATCCTTCCTGGGCACCTGGTCCTGGGGCAGGCTCACTGTTCCCTAGATGAGCTCTTAAACAAGAAGATCGAGGAGCAGGCTAGCTCCTATGGTACCACAGCCCCTGGACATTGCTAGACTCCAACCTTGCCTCTTGCCCCAAATCCAATCCCTGAACTAGACCCTAACACTTGGCCTGACCCGTCAGGATCCACCTGCCCAATCTTCCTCTGATTACTGGTACAGAGCCCATTAGAGTAGCTTCCAATGGGAACAGGAGGGAACCCAGCAATAGAGACATGGGAAGGTCTGGCAGCAACCTGGCTGGCACCAAAGGGGAAGCATCCTGGTCCAGGAGAAGGCTGGACAGGAATCTTACAGCCTTTCTCTTCTCTGTAATGGTTTAGTTCTGGCTGCCGTTCAAAAGCTTCAAGTGAGCTGCTTCAGTGTTACCTCTCGGGGTGCTCTAGCCACCTGCCCCTCAGGTCAGTCTGGAACCTAGTGTTCTAGCCCCAACTTCCCCTCCCCCAGGCCTCTGATGTTCCCTACCCATAGGACCCTAGTGTCCAGCCCCCAGCCTCCTACTCCTCCAGGACCCTGGTGTCAAAGCCTCAGGAGCCCCAACCAGGGCTCCAGAGTCCAAACCCCAGGCTCTCTTTCCCTTCCTTCTCCACCCAGGACCCCAGAGTCCAAACCCCAGGCTCTCTTTCCCTTCCTTCTCCACCCAGGACCCCAGAGTCCAAACCCCAGGCTCTCTTTCCCTTCCTTCTCCACCCAGGACCTCAGAGTCCAAACCCCAGGCTCTCTTTCCCTTCCTTCTCCACCCAGGACCCCAGGGTCCAAGCCTCAGGCTCTCTTCTCCTCAGGGTCCATCGTCACAAGCTGTTCATGTGGCTCAGCCTGTGGCTCCTGGGATGTTCGTGAACCCACCACGTGTCACTGTCAATGTGCTGGAATGGACTGGACTAGTGCCCGCTGCTGCAAGTTTGGGGGCCAATGATGAGCCGAGACAGAGCCTTCCTTTGCCTTCTTCCCACCAAATCCTTCCTGAGTGTGGCCTGCTCCCAGGAGTCAAAGCTAGAGGTTAAATAAACATGGCATGTGGTCAGAGTGTGCTGAGTGATTGCCGAGGGGCAGGATAGGGCCTGCCCAAATTTCTGCCCAGCCCTCTTACTCTATACCAATATGCTTCTTCATTGGCTCCAACCAGGGAGGTCCCAGACTTTCAGGTACTGCTAATGAGGAGCAACTGACATGCTGGGATCTTGAAGGGACTGAGAGGTAGAGCCTGAGCCTGGATACCTAGGTCTTTGGGAGAGGACCTTGGCAGGTAGAAGTTTGTCTGGCAGCACTCCAGGAATCCTCATTTCCTGCCCCCCCCAATTCCACAGAGAGAATTCTCTAGTTGGGGTGATGGATCCCAGAGAGGGTGGGGATGGGCAGCTGTCTATGAACTCGTGAAGAGGAATATATGGAGGTTGAGCCCAGCTTAGGGTTATCTGGAAGACTTCTGCTCCCTTTGGCCCCCACCCACCAGGGAACTTGAACCACCAAAGTGGTTTTTCTGCTTCTCTGTGTTCACTTTACTTACTGTCCAGCTGGACAGTTCATGTATAAATTAGTCAACTTTAAGGTACCAGGCTTGGGGCTGGACTCCTGGGTCCTGTGCACAGGAAAGCTGAGGGCTGGACATCCAAGCCTTGTGGAGGAGTATAGGATGGAACAGATGATGAAGGAAAGGAAGAATTTCTGATGGGACCAGTTCCAGCCCCAGCTCGTCAGCCCATGTGACAGTTTAATCTTGACTATGATGGTTTCTCTTCTCTCCCTCAGCTCCCTTACTTCTGCTATACTACTCTGCCCTACCACTTTGAGCTCCTTAGATTGGTCCCTGACTCCTCCCTCCCCTCCTGACACTGAAACCTCCTAACCACAGGAAGTTCCCCAGGGTCCCAGGGAACCTCCCAGGCATGGTGTCCAAAGGTCCCAATGTTAAGCAGCCCCAGTGTCCGAGTTTTGAATGGTCTCAGCATTATTAGTCTCTCCCTAGTCTCAACAAACGTTCTCTCCTCTCCTTGGAATGCCCACAGGGCTCAGCCTGACCTCCTCTAGCATCTTCAGTACTTAAGTAGTTAGGGCCCTGCTCACCTCTCCTCTTGGTTAGAATTTCTCTGTCTTTTCCCCCCATTTCCCTTTGGGAAATGGGTTCTCTTAGAACCACTGAGAGATTTGGGGACCGAAAGATCTGTGTGTTGGGTAAAGGTCTGTGCCCTGGATCAAGGTCTATGCCTTGGTTGGATCTTCCATGCCTCTGGCTAACAGTCATATTTTCCCTGGTTTGGTCTCTCTGCTGTCACCCATACAGATGACTGAGGGGCAAAGAGATGAGAGAGGGAGGGTACAGTAAGAGGCACATTCTATGTTGCCAATAAAGATGTACACACACACACACACACACACAGACACACACACACACACAGACACACACACACACACTCTATATGTGCACCTATGTATATATTCATAGTTGTGCATGAAAACTAGAAACCAGCTTCCATACGCTTCAAAGTTCTATACACAGAACTTACACACTTTCACACACTTCCCTCCTCACTCTATTGCTGTCCCTGGTACTGAAGTTGAGGGGGAGAGAGGATGGAAAGGGAGGATGGACATCTGGGACTGGGTATAATCTCCTGACCCTGAAGGTTTGGTTTCACCCCCTTGCCTGGCTTCTCCTTTCATGACCAATAAGACCAATAAAGACCCAGGCATCATCAACCCCTCAAACTTCCCCTACCCCATTTCTCTAATCTAAACTGTTGAACACCCCAGCATGGGAGGACAGACATCGTACATAAACAGGGTAAGAAAGAGAGAAACCATGGACAGGGCGGCTGGTAGAGGTGGGGTGCATAAGGATAGAGTCCTAGAATATGGACTGAAGGCGGAGGGACCCAGGTCCCTGGGACCCTGGGCAGGACTGAGTCAGTGGGAAACAGATAAGAGTCCCATAAGATAAAAGGGCTGAGTCTATCAAGACCAGGGACAGAAGGATCCAGGACATATGGATTAAGGACAGAATAGGGAAAGTCAAGCAAAAAGATAAGGTCCTGGAAAATAGAGAGAATGAAAATAGAAGCAGCATGATACAGCGGGAAGAACACTGGGTCTGAAGTCAGAGGTTCAAAATGTAAACTCTCCCATATTCTACTTGAATGATCTTTGGCAAAAGTCACTTCACAGATTATTTTTTTTGGCTAGGCAATGGGTTTAAGTGACTTGCCCAGGGTCACACAGCTAGAAAGTGTTGTGTCTGAGGCCAGATTTGAACTCAGGTCCTCCTGAATCCAGGGCTGGTGCTCTATCCACTGCACCACCTAGCTGCCCCCACTTCACAGCTTTGCTCTCAGATTCTTCCTCTAAAATTAAGAAGTTGGACTGGTGGTTGTTGTCCTTCATTTTCGAAGAGGGCCAAAATGACATCACTATGCTAGAATCAGGTTTCAGTGTGTCTGACTGTGGCTGATCAGACCATACAAGCTTGGAATGCTCTACCACAAGTCAGGCACAAATAGTCCATGTGAACATTTGGGGTGGATTCTTGAAGTTTGGGCATCTTGTGTTTCTCTTGAGCCATTTCAATTCTGCTTTGCTCACAGAGCACAGCACCTTCTCTGATGTGGGCACACCATGCTGAGTGGTCCTGTGCCAATGTCTCCCATGTCACACAATCAATTCCAAAGTTCCTAAGAGAGACCTTGAGAGTGTCCTTGTATCGCTTCTTCTGACCACCATGTGAGCACTTTCCCTGTGTGAGTTCTCCATAAAACAGTCTTTTTGGAAAGCATATGTTTTGCATTCAAACAATGTGGCCAGTCCATCATACTTGTGCTGTCTAAAGCAGAGTTTGAATGCTTGGCAGTTTAGTTCAAGAAAGGACCTTAGTGTCTGGTATCTTATCCTGCCAGGAAATCTTCAGAATCTTCCTTCAGAATCACTTCCTTCAAATGGAAGTGATTCACTTTCCTGGCGTGGCACTGATATATTTTTCAGATTTCACAGGCATACAACAATGAGGCCAGCACAATGGCTCTGTAGACCTTCAGTCTGGTAGGCAGTCTAATACCTCTTCTCTCCCACACTTTCCTTCTGAGCATCCCAAACACTGAATTATCTCTGGCAATGTGTGCCAGAGATAATGACCTCCTTATCAACACATACATCCTTGGAAAGTACACACCAACACAAGTGAACTTACCCACAGCATTCAGAACTTCTCCGTTTGCTGTAACTGACGGTTCCATATATGCATGGTGTGGTGGTGGGCTGATGGAGCACTTGTGTTTTCTTGGTGTTAATTGTTAGGCCAAAATTAGCACAAGCAGCAGAGAATTGATCCATACTTTGTTGCATCTCAGCTTCAGAGGCTGCATTGAGCTCAGTGCACAATCATCTGCAAACATAAAATCTTGTACCAACACTTCTTCCACTTTGGTCTTGGCTTTTAATCTTTTCAAGTTGAAGAATTTACCATCAGTGTGGTAGCTGACCTTGATGCCATGTTCGTCTTCATTGAAAGCATTTGACAACATGGCTGAAAACATTGCACTAAAAAGTATGGAAGCAAGCACACAGCCTTATTTCACTCCATTGGTGACTGGGAAAGCGTGAGAGTATTGAACATTACCCAAAACCCAGGCAAGCATGGTGTCATGAAATTGACATACAATGCTGATGAACTTCTCTGGGCAACCAAATTTTGACATAATTTTCCATAAGCCCTCATAACTGACAGTATCTTGGTTAGATCTACAAATGTGTACAGACCTCTGTTCTGCTCTTGGCATTTCTCCCAGAGTTACTGGGCAGCAAAACACCATATCAACTGTTCCTTGGCCCCTTCTGAAGCCACACTGGCTCTCAGGTAGATGACCATCTTCCAGGTTAAGGATCAGCCTATTAAGGAGGACTCTGGCAAGAAATCTTGCCAGCAACTAAGAGAGAGGACCCCCCACCCTGATTGTCACAGGACAATCTATTTCTTTTACCCTTATAGAGATGGACAGTGGAGGCATCCTTGAATTCCTGGGGGATAACCTCCTCTTGCCATATAACCTGGAAAATTTGAGTCAGCTTTTGTATGAGCAATGGACCCCCTACCTTGTAAATCTCAGCTGGAATAGAATCAGCACCAGGTGCTTTGCCACATGAAAGGAGCTGAATGGCATTCAAAACCTCTTCTTCAGTTGGAACTTCAGCTAGGGAGGGATTGACTTCAACCTGTGATAAATGGTCAATGGCTTCAGCATCGATTGATGATGATCTGTTGAGAACACTATGGAAGTGTTCAGCCCATCTTTCTAGGATCATGTCCATATCGCCAATCAATGTGGCTCCATCAGCACTGAGTAGGTGAGATGCACCATAGGTCTTTGGCCCATAAATAGCAAGAGGTTAGACTAGGGGACCTCTGAAGTCCTTTCCAGGTCTACAATCTTATGACTTTGGGGTATGATGGAAAGATGGGGACAAACATGTATTTTGGGAGGAGGTGTGGAGCCAAGGAACTTTTCCCCTATCACTTTTAATCTTGCCATTCTTGAGGAATGACTTTCATGCTGTGGAGTGGATTTTGGTCATAGGCTCTGTATGGCTCTACCATGGGACTGGAGAATACCACCAGTGCTACTCAGAGTTTATTGACTCATCCCCCTTGTCTCCACTACAATGTTTGGTGGTGGATAGGGGTATACTTGGTGATACTGCCTTAATTCATATATGTATACTTGGGAGTATATATTTTGATCTGGTGGTGGTGGTGGTAGTGGTTGGTGGTGACTCAGGTGTCAGAGGCAGAAAAACTCATGTACTTACATGATATCTCTTACTCAAACATCGAACCAGTTGGAGAAATGAATTCTGGGTCTCTGAGGAGGCTGGACGTCTGGGTTGTCAGGAGCTCAGGGGCCGGAGGCTGGATCCTGAGTCCTTTAAAGGTGGTAGGACCTGGGGGTTAGATGCCTAGCTTTCATCTCAGCTGCAAAGCTCTTTCTAATGATCTTGATATCCTCCCCACTCCTACCTTGGTTGTCACTGAAAACTTTCTGC